TGGGGGCCTCTGGGCGGCTCCAGGGGCTTCCAGGAGCGTCGTGGGTGCCTCGGGGCAGCCTCTTGTGGCCTCTTGGGGGCCTCTTGGGGGCATCTTGGGGGCCTCTTGGAGGCCTCTTGGGGCCTCGTGGGGCTCTCTGGGAGGGGTCTGGGAGGAATCTTGGGGCCATCTGTCGGGCGATCGATCACAGATGAGGCGAGCATTTTTCTGCCTCCCCCCGTCGGGGCCAGAATCCTCGTGAGGGGTGTCGAATTTTAGCCCTCCCAGGAGTCGAAAAAGATCCCTCCAACCACCCGCGGGGCGCCCTCTCCAGGCCCAGGGGGAGGGGGTAGGGGGAGGGGTAAACCCCTCCCCGAAGGGGAAGAAGGGGGTTGAGAACAGAGCGGGCTCTCTAAACCACTCACGCCCAAAGGGCTGGTGGGATTTCTGGCTGGCGGTTCTCCCACTGCGTGCCCAAGTGCACGCCTGCTAGATCGCAGTGGTCATTGGGCTCTCAGAAGAAAGGGATCGTAGGTGCAAAACGAGCACCTCGCCCGAGACATCCACACTGTGTGGTCGCGTCTCTGGCTGCCGGCTCGCTTTTCGTGTGCCCAAACGCACGCCTGCTAAGTCGCGGTGGTCATTGGGCTCTCAGAGGAATGGGACCGTAGGTGCAAAACGAGCGACACGCCCGAGACATCCACACTGTGTGGTCGCGAATGGGCAAGGGCCACCCTCTCTGGCTGGCGGCTAGCCTTTCGTGTGGCCAAGTGCATGCCTGCTAAGTCGTGGTGGTCACTGGGCTATCAAAGGGATGGGACCTTAGGCGCATAACCAGACATCCACAGACATCCACACTGTGCGGTCGCGAATGGGCAAGGGCCCCCCTCTTTGGCTGGCGGCTATCCTTTCGCGTGCCCAAGCGCACGCCTTCTAAGTAGCGGTGGTCGTTGGGCTCTCAGAGGAGTGGGCCGGCAGGCGCAAAACGAGCGCCTCGCCCAAGACATCCACACAATGTGGTCGCGAACAGTCAAGGGCCACCCTCTCTGGCTGGCGGCGAGCCTTTTGCGTGCCCAAGCGCACGCCTGCTAAGTCGCGGTGGTCATTGCGCTCTCACAGGAATGGGGCCGTAGGTGCAAAACGAGCGCCTCGCCCGAGACATCCACACTGCGTGGTCGCGAACAGGCAAGGGGCCCCCCTCTCTGGCTGGCGGCTCTCCTTTCGCGTGCCCATTTGCGTGGTGGTCGTTGGGCTCTCAGAAGAAAGGGATCGTAGGTGCAAAACGAGCGCCTCGCCCGAGACATCCATACTGTGTGGTCGCGAGCGGGCCAGGGCCCCCCTCTCTGGCTGGCGGCTCGCCCCTCGCGTGCCCAACCGCACGTTTGCTAAGTCGCGGTGGTCATTGGGCTCTGAAAGGATTGGGATCGTAGGAGCAAAACGAGCGCCTCGCCCGAGACATCCACACAATGTGGCCGCGAACGGGCAAGGGCCACCCTCTCTGGCTGGCGGCTTTCTTTTTGCGTGCCCAAGTGCACGCCTGCTAAGTCGCGGTGGTCATTGCGCTCTCACAGGAACGGGACCGTAGGCGCAAATCGGAAGCCTCGCCCGAAACATCCACACTGTGGCAAGGGCCCCCCTCTCTGGCTGGCGGCTCGCCTTTCGTGCGCCCAAGCGCACGCCTGCTAAGTCGCGGTGGTCATTCTGGGCTCTCGGAGGAATTGGGTCGTAGGTGCAAAACGAGCGCCTCGCCCGAGACATCCACACTGTGCGGTCGCGAGCGGGCAAGGGCCACCCTCTCTGGCTGGCGGCGAGCCTTTCGCGTGCCCAAGCGCACGCCTGCTAAGTCGCAGTGGCCTTGGGCTTTCAAAGGAATGGGGCCGTAGGCGCACAACATGCGCCGCGCCCGAGACATCCACGCTGTGCGGTCGCGGATGGGCAATGGCCCCCCTCTTTGGCTGGAGGTGGGCCTTTTGTGTGCCCAAACGCACGTCTGTTCAGTCGCGGTGGTCATTGGGCTCTCAAAGGAATGGGGCGGTAGGTGCAAAACGAGCGCCGCGCCCGAGACATCCACATTGTGTGGTCGCGACTGGGCAAGGGCCCCCCTCTCTGGCTGGCGGCTCGCTTTTTGTGTGCCCGAGCGCACGCTTGCTAAGTCGCGGTGGCCACTGTGCTCCCAAGGGAATGGGACCGTAGGCGCAAAACGAGCGCCTCGCCCGAGGCATCCACACTGCGTGGTCGCGAACGGGCAAGGGCCCCCCTCTCTGGTTGGCGGCGAGCCTTTCGCGTGCCCAAGCGCACGCCTACTAAGTCGCGGTGGTCATTGGGCTCTCAAAGGAATGGGACCGTAGGTGCAAAACGAAGTCCTCGCCCGAGACATCCGCACTGTGCGGTCGCGAATGGACAAGGGCCCCCCTCTTTGGCTGGCGGCTATCCTTTCGCGTGCCCAAGCGCACGCCTTCTAAGTAGCGGTGGTCGTTGGGCTCTCAGAGGAGTGGGCCGGCAGGCGCAAAACGAGCGCCGCGCCCGAGACATCCACACAATGTGGTCGCGAACAGTCAAGGGCCACCCTCTCTGGCTGGCGGCGAGCCTTTTGCGTGCCCAAGTGCACGCCTGCTAAGTCGCGGTGGACATTGGGCTTTCAGAGGAATGTGACCGCAGGTGCAAAACGAGCGCCTTGCCCGAGACATCCACACTGTATGGCCGCGAATGGGCAAGGGCCTCCCCTCTCTGGCTGGCTGGCGGCTCTCAGAGTAATGGTTCCTTAGGTGCAAAACGAGCGCCTCGCCCGAGACATCCACACTGTGCGGTCGCGAATGGGCAAGGGCCCCCCTTCTCTGGCTGGCGGCTATCCTTTCGCGTGCCCAAGCGCACGCCTTCTAAGTAGCGGTGGTCGTTGGGCTCTAAGTAGCGGTGGTCGTTCGCGTGCCCAAGCGCACGCCTTCTAAGTAGCGGTGGTCGGTGGTCTACTGCGCTCTTAAAGGAATGGGACCGTAGGCACAAAACGAGCGCGTCGCCCCAGACATCCACACTGTGTGGTCGCGAACGGGCAAGGGCCACTCTTCTCTGGCTGGCGGCACGCCTTGTGCGTGCCCAAGCGCACGCTTGCTAAGTCGCGGTGGAGATTGGGCTTTCAGAGGAATTTGACCGTAGGTGGAAAACGAGCGCCTCGCCCGAGACATCCCCATTGTGCGGTCGCGAATGGGCAAGGCCCCCCCCTCTCTTGCTGGCGGCGAGCCTTTAAGCGCACGCCTGCTAAGTCGCGGTGGTCTTTGGGCTCTCAAAGGACTGTGACCGTAGGCGCAAAACGAGCCTCGCCCGAGATATCCACACTGTGTGGTCGAGAACGGGCAAGGGCCACCCTCTCTGGCTGACGGCTAGCTGTTTGCGTGCCCAAGTGCGTTCCTGCTATGTCGCGGTGGCCACTGGGCTTTCAAAGGAATGGGACCGTAGGAGCAAAACGAACGCCTCGCCCGAGACATCCACACTGTGTGGCCGCGAACGGGCAAGGGCCACCCTCTCTGGCTGGCGGATCGCCTTTTGCGTGCCCAAGCGCACGCCTGCTAAGTCGCGGTGGTCATTGGGCTCTCAAAGGAACAGGTGCAGCATGAGCGCCTCGCCCGAGACATTCACATTGTGTGGTCGCGACTGGGCAAGGGCCCCCCTCTCTGGCTGGCGACTCGCCTGTCGTGTGCCCAAGTGCACGCCTGCTAAGTCTCGGTGGTCATTGGGCTCTCAATCGAAAGGGACCGTAGGCTCATAACAGGCGCCTCGCCCGAGACATCCACACTGTGTGGTCGCGAGCGGGCAAGGGCCACCCTCTCTGGCTGGCGGATCGCCTTTTGCGTGCCCAAGTGCACGCCTGCTAACTCGCGGTTGACATCGGGTTCCCAAAGGAATTGGACCGTAGGTGCAGAACGAGCGCCTCGCCCGAGACATCCTCACTGTGTGGTCGCGAATGGGCAAGGGCCCCCCCTCTCTGACTGGCGGCTAGACTTGTGCGTGCCCAAGCGCACGCCAGCTAAGTCGCGGTGGCCATTGGGCTTTCAAAGGAATGGGGCCGTAGGCGCAAAACGAACGCGTCGCCCGAGACATCCACACTGTGTGGTCGCGAATGGGCAAGGGCCCCCCCTCTCTTGCTGGCGGCGAGCCTTTTGTGTGCCCATTTGCACGCCTGCTAACTCGCGGTGGACATTGTGGGCTTTCGAAGAAATGGGACCGCAGGCGCAAAACGAACGCCTCGCCCGAAACATCCACATTGTGTGGTCGCGAACGGGCAAGGGGCCCCCTCTCTGGCTGGCGGCTAGCCTTTCGCGTGCCCAAGTGCACGCCTGCTAAGTCGCGGTGGACATTGGGCTCTCAGAGGAATGGGACCGCAGGTGCAGAACGAGCGCCTCGCCCGAGACATCCACACAGTGTGGTCGCGAATGGGCAAGGGCCCCCCTCTATGGCAGGCGGATCGCTTTTTGTGTGCCCAAGTTCACGCCTGCTAAGTCGCGGTGGTCATTGGGCTCGCAGAGGAATGGGACCGTAGGCGCAAAACGAACGCCTCGCCCAAGACATCCACAGTGTGTGGTCGCGAATGGGCAGGTTCATGGGCTGTTCAGAGGCGGTTCGTCCATGGGCTGTTCCAGAGGCCGCGCCTGCTACATCGCAGTGGCCAATGGGATTCCAAATCATGAGAACCGGGGGCGCCAAGCGAGCGAATTGCTCGAGACGTCCTCGCAATCTGGGCGCGTGTGAGGGGTGAGCCGAAACGAAGGAGATACAGTGATGAGGCCCCGAAACATGTGACCGCAACCATCCAGTTTTCGCTCCGAAACCGCAGGAACCGCCGAAGACCGTCAGACCACCGCCGAAGACCGCTGAACACCTCCCGAAGACCGCCGAAGACGGCCCAGGAGCGATGGGTAACAAGGGGTCCACTGTCGATCACGTAAGAGTGGGGATCGATCGAAACAAGAAGATTTGTTCGTGGCGCCTGCAGAGAACGACGTGCACCCTGATTACCCCAGCCCGGCCCAGGCGATGCAGGCCCAGAAGAGCAACGAACGCGTGATGGAGCGCCAGAGGGGCAAGGACGCCCCCGAAGGGGAGGAGGATCAGAGGAGGAAAAGGTACCCATACCGCTACCGTACCTTGGTGTTCGCCTTGTTGGGGCCCTCGAGGAGGCCCTCGTCGCTACGTCTGGCTTCGCTTCGAAATCGTGGTCAGAACGCTCCCCAGGGGAGGTCCGGGGAGTAGCGGCATCGGTATCGGTACCTGTGGTTTCCTTGGAGGGTGGGAGCGGTGTCCCTCCCGCCTTCCCTCTCCTCCTGCCTGGTCCCCCCCCTCCTCCTCCCCCTTGCCTCCGTCCTGGAGGGAGGGAGGGGGAGGGGGAGAGGGAGGAGGACCAGGCAGGTCTAGGAACGGGATAGATCGCTCCAGAGCTGAGGGCGTTCTGGAAGGCTTTTGGATGTCCGCGGCGCCGGGTACATCCCTCAGAACCGCCAAATCACAGAACTTCCCGTTTATCCTAATCCGATTCTGGCCTGGCCTTAATTTTATATTTGAGGAGGAGGATGAGGAGAAGGAAGAGGTGGAGGGAGGAAGAGAGGGGGAGGGAGAGGAGAGATGGAGCGGCTTGCGGGGAGACGGGGGAGATGGAGGATTTGCTTTGAGCTCAACGCCCGACTCCTCTGTAGGCCTGCTTGTAGCCGGCTTAAACTCGTGCCGCAATAGAGGGAAGTGCGGCAGGAGCTAAGAAAATCCAGATGGGGCCCACCGCCGTACTTGTTGAAGGAGGCTGGGGCACCCATCGAAAATCAAATCAAGTATTAAATCATCGTGTCAGGTTGTTCGTTTCCACCGTGACGCCGAGCTTATGTTTGCTATAATGCGGGTGGCGGCCCTTGCACAGAGCCCCCCACCCATAGTGAGCAGCCCGGGAGGGAGGGGGCTCGCAGCGCGCCCCGAGACCCCGAACCGAAGCCCCACTCGAATGGCACTTGCAGCGCGTGCAAATGAACAGAACCGAGCCGTCCGAGCAATCAAACGCAATGGTGCGATGCTCGAGCTGATCCTGCCTGGCAGCGTGGAGCTTCGAAAACTCGGAGCACCTGCCTGGCGCAGGGCGCTCCGAAGCTCGTGAGCCCCGCAGGCAGACGGCACAACGCCAGATGCCAGACCAACGCTCCCATCTATGGCCAGGTCCCTGGGAAACAGGAAAGTACGGAACCCGCTCCGCCGAAGACAAATCGATGTCTGGCCACAGATGGAGCAGATTGGCGGCGAGCGCAAGAGTAGCACGAGCTTGCTCGACAAGCATGCGCGCCGCCTCCAGCTTGTCGGGGTCCCTCGGGTGGAGATCGACAGCCAGCTTCGCACTGATGTCGGCGTGATGGTTGCCCATGCGCCTCCAGCGTTCGGATACGTCGATCCCGACCTCATCGATATCGCGATGGGCGGCGACCTTGAAACTCGGCGCTGGTTTAGCACCCTGTGCGAAAATCTGCAGGAAGGCACCCGAGTAAACTCGCTTGCCCGACAACTGCTCGCCCCGAGGACGACACGCTAGCTTGACCACATTTTCGCAATCATAATATACAGAAATGCGATCTGAGGCCAAAACATTCGCCCAAGTGAAACAGCTAAACTCTGCACTCTGGGGAGTCTGGGGATACGGAGCCCAGACCGAAGCACGAAACTCCGCGATGCGATCACCAGCATCGTCAACCATGATGACGCTGCTGGCAGCTCTACTGAGCTCTCGGATGGGATGCCTGGCACACGAGCCGTCTACGAAGAGGCTTCCCCACAACTCGGTGCCGGGGCGCTGCCCATTCGATTTCACGATGTCTTCTCGGTGCCACACAAGGACAGGGCCATCGTCGAACTCCGTGAGGGGACGGGGGTAGGAGTCGGCAGGATGGCGAAACGCCCCGGAGATGAAAACGAAGACGTCGTCCCCGGCCGCCTTAGCTGCCAAAGCTGCTTCGACGATGCTGGCGTCCACTAAGTCAGCGCGAAGCTCGGCGGCAGGCCCATGGGAGCACTCCCAGAGCCGGTGGAAGATGGTATCCTGGCAGCCGCAAAATGGACAAGAATCGTCGACAACGTCATGAAGTTTTCCATGCGCCACCCCAAGCGAACCAAGGACACACGCAGAGCGCTGATGGGGCCCGCAACCTGCCTCCAAGAGCAGGCGGGATTTCCGAACACCGACTCCCAAGCTTGCCTCAAGATTGGGAGGGGGGTGGCCCATTGATAGGCAGACGTCTGGCCAAGCCATATCTCCTTGGCCCAGCGCGGGGAGATGGAGGAGGAGGAGGAGGAGCAGGAGCAGGAGCAGGAGCAGGAGCAGGAGCAGGAGCAGGAGGAGCAGGAGGAGGCCTCCTTCTTCCTCCCTCCCCCCTCTTCTCTTCCGCCCAGCCTCCGCCTCTCTCCTCCCTCCCTCTCCTTTTTCTCTGCCCCATATCCGTCCCCTCCCTCCTCCCTCGCCCCCCTCCTCCCATAATTTCCCTCCGTCGTTCCCTCCCTCCCATCCTACTTCCCTCCGACGCTTGATTTCTCTAATCCGTTTCCCTCCCGTTCATCCTTCCCCCTGCGGCTGCCTCCTGGATCCCTCGAGGGATCCCCGCCCCCGCCCTCCCGCCCTCCCCCCCCTCCCCGAAGTTTCATGTTTCCCAGGGATGCGTCGTGTTTGTTGTGTGTGCCGCATGTTGACAGTCCTGGGGCCCGGTCAGAGGCCTAAGAGGGCCAACCGCAACAAGCAACACCACATTCACGACGCAAGGATGACAGGGAGCGCTCCCTGCTCCATCTCACACACTTCTCGGATGACAGGGATCGGCGCCAGCACACACTTGGCCCAACCGTCGAACCCCGACCAAATCACGTTTAGTCCGTCTTCACTGTGGCTGAAGCCGGGCTAATGCCCTCCCAATGTTGCCTAATAGGTTTCCTTTCAGTGTTCGCACGACAACATCCCAGGAGTTGCATCCCCAATGTCCTCTCCTCCTCATCCCATCCCCCCCCCTTCCTGGTGTGCCCCTGAGTGTGATCCCCCTAACCCTTCCTCCTTCTCCTTCCATGCTGGAGGAGTAGAGAGGGAGAGAGGGAGGGATGAGGCAGGGACAGATGGGATGAGAGGGCCAGATGGGATGAAACGCGAGGGAGGGAGAGAGGGACAGATGGGATGAGGAGAGGGAGGAGGCAGGGAGGGAGCGAGGGAAGGAGGATGGGCGGGAGAAGGAGAAGGAGGAGGAATTGAAGAAAGAGAAGAAGAAGAAGAACATGGACACGAAACAAGGGCTCCAGGAAGGATGGAGGGCATGATCCCCCCCCCCTCCACTCTGGAACCACTTGAGGAGCGGGGGGGGGCAACCCCGCGGCTCGGGTAATACTGTCCTCAAGCGGCGACGGCGGCCACCAGAGCCTTCGCCCCGGAGCCGTCGCCCCGTCGTCATCACCGCCGCTGATGCCGCCGCCATCGCCGTCGTTGTTTCCTCCTGATTCCTCCTCCTTCTCAACCTCATCCTCTCCCTCATCCCGTCTTTCTCGTCCTCCTCCTCCTATCCCTCCTCCCCCCCTTTTTCTTTCCCCTCTTGGACTTTGACTCTGCATGTATCGTCACACACACGCCCCGCTTGCACTGCGACTCTATGTTCATCGCCAGCTATTGTGATGTTGTGTTTCCAGTCATTTCTGGTCTGCACGGCGAGCTCTTCCGAGGACATCTGACCGACCGACCATCCCTCTCCCTCCCCTTCCCCCTGGAGCCCTCCAGGGGACCACCCCTCTCTCCTTGGAGCCCTCCCCCTCCCTCCCTCCACATCTTCCTCCTCTCCCCTCCCTCCCTCTCTCTCCCCCCGCTACCCCCATACCTCCCCCTAATAGTGGCCTCGAGGAAGACCCCACCCACCCTCGGCGACAGGACGATAAGCGGCGGCGTGCGGGGGACGCGCGGGCGGCCGTGGCCCCGAAGGACGCCGCGCCGCCGCCGCGTCGGCCGCGCTCCCGCCGAGCGGCCCGAGTGAGGGGGGGGGGGGGGGGCGGTTCGGGTCCCGTGCCCTCCTCGCCTCAGAGACGAAGGAGCGGCAGAATCATCAGAGATCGGTCATCCTTGGGTTCGCGGCTGAAGTGAGATTCCGCGCCTCGGTTGGTGTTTGTTGTTGTTGTTGTTGTTGCTGTTGCTGTTGCTGTTGTTGCTGCTGCGGCTGATGCTGTTGTTGTTGTTGTTGTTGCTCTTAGTGTTGGTGTTGGTGTTGGTGTTGTTGTTGTTGTTGTTGTTGTTGTTGTTGTTGTTGTTGAACTCTCATTTTTGACGAATAATTATTGCTGATCCCCCCTCACCGGTGCATATTGTTTTTTCTTAATCAAAGTGTGCCCCTCGACGCTCGCACCCTGATTTTTGACAGGGAAGATCTTCCTGCTCAAACTGTACCCTTAGCCCCCCGGATTACAACAACAACGGCTCCCGCCTGAGACTTTCTCCAAATTTACTCAGGACCCCCGTTCCCGCCTGGGACTTCCTCACAATTTACTCAGGATCGGTGCTCCCGCCGGTGACTTCCTTGCAATTTAGTCAGGACCCCCTCTCCCATCTGAGACCTCACAATTTACTCAGGAGGGGCGCTCCCGCTTGAGACTTCTTCGCAATTGAGCCAAGACTTCCTCGCAATTTAATCCAGACCCCCGCTCCCGCCAGAGAACCCCTCACATTTTATTCAGGAATTGCGCTCCCGCCTGCGACGTCCATTCAATTTATTCAGAAATCGCGCTTTCGACGCTCAGGAAACACGCTGCGCCAAGGACGCCGTCACAATTTACTTAGGAATCGCGCTCTCGCCATACTCAGGCATCCCGCTTGAATGTCCCACCCGCCCGACCCGCCCGTCAGGGGATCGCCCGCCCGTCGTGGGCTCCCGCCCGAGACTTCCTTCAGGAACGGCGCTTTCGCCTAGGACTTCCTCTACCGTTCACGCTCTTACCTTCCTGCTCCTCCTCCCTCTCCTTCCTCCCTACTCCCTCCTCTCCTCCCTTTTCTCTCCCTCCTCTCCTCCCCCATCCTTCTGCATCTCTGCCCTATCCCCTCTCCCTCCTCTCCCTCCTCCCTTCTCCCTCCCGTCTCCTGCCTCCTCCCTTCCTCTCTCTCTCTTTCTCCTCTCTCTCTCTCTCTTTCTCTACCTCTCTTATCGTTTTTTTTTTTTTGTGTTTGTTCTCTCTCTCTCTCTCTTTCTCTCTCTCTCTCTCTCTCTCTCTCTCTTTTTGTGCCTCTAATCAACCGCCCCCTTTTTCGCTCCTTTTCTCCTGGCGTTATCCCTCTTCCTTCGTCCCTCCCCCTGCCTTCCTCCCACTCTCCCATTTTCTCCCCCTCCTCGTTCCGCAGGCCCCACACCAATTCCAATGGCGGGCACACGCACGCCCACGAAAGATTGTCCGCCCGTTCAGGTTTGCCCGCCTGTCTAAGCCCGCCGCCCCCTGCAAAGAGGAATAATCCCCCCAAACGGGTGTGATCGAAGACAAAAGGGCGGGTATCGAGGGTGTGGGGAACTCGTTTTGAATGACACAGGCAAGTAGGAGCGAACAGTCATATAATGATTGTTGTTGTCGTTGTTGATGTTGCGGCTGTTGTTATTGCTGTTATTGGTGTTGTTGTTGTGGCTCAGTTCTCGCTACTGAAGAATAATGGGTGCAAATCCCCCGTCCGGTGTCCGTTGTTTTTTGAATTGAAGTGTTTGCCCCAGCGCTCGCACTTGGTTTTTTATCCGGGAAAGTCACTTACTTCATATTGCGTTTCTGGCTCCCGAACTACAGCAACAACGGCTCCCGCCTGATACTGGCTCTATTCCCAAATCGCGCTCTCGCGCGGGACTTCCTCAATTTATTCTGGAATCGCGTTCTCGCATGGGACTTCGTCGCAATTCATTCAACCGCTGCGCCTTCGACATTCAGGAGTCACGTTCTCGTTGTGGATTTCTTCATGATGGATTTGGGAATCGAGCTGTCGCTCGAAACTTCCTCGCGATTCATTCAGGACGCACGCCTGAGCAACCCACATGCTCGACCTGGCCTCCTGGGCCCTCCTTCCCGACCCGCCTGGTAGGGTCTACCCGCCCGATCTGCCCGTCTGGTTCTGCCACGTGTTTTCTGCTCTTAGCCCGTGCTCCATCCTCCTTCCTCTCCCTTGTCTTTCCTTCCATCCGTCCTCTCTTCTCTTGCCTCAGGGGATGCGCGAAATACGCCTGCAAGTCGGAGAGATATGTCCCCAAGGGGGCACGGTCGAGGACGGAGAGGGCGGGTATCGAGGGTTCGGGATATTCGTGTTGAGTGGCAGGCGAGCAGATGAGAGCGAACAGTCTGAAAACGTTTGTTGCTGAGTTTGTTGTTGTTGTTGTTGGTGGTGTTGGTGTTGTTGTGGTAGTTGCTGCTGCTGGTGTTGTTGTTGTTGCGGTTGTTGGTGTTATTCGTGTTGTGTTGTGGGTGGTGGTGATGTTGTTGTTGTTGTTGTTGTGGTTGTTGTTGGTGTTGCTGACGCTGGTGTTGTTGCTGTTGTTGTTACTGTTGTTGTTGCGGTTGTCGTTGTTGAAGTTATTGGTTTTTGATTTCCAAAGAAGGGTTTTCGTTGATCCCCCCTGCCGGGAACCATTGTATGTTTTCAATTGAAGTGTGTCTCTCGGGGCTCGCACCCTGCTTTTCGGTTCAAGAGAAAGTGAAGTGTCACCAAACTGCGCACCTGTTTCCCGGTTTACAGCAACAACGGTTCCCGCCTGATACTTTCTTACAAGGTATTCCCAAGTCGCGCTCTCGCGTTGGATTTCCTCGCAATGTATTCAGACGCCGCGTCCTCGACACTGAAGAATCAGACTCTCGCTGTGGATGTCCTGACGATTTGTTTGGGCATCGCGATATCGTACCCTTGATTGATGCAGGACGCACGCTTCAGCAACCCGTCTGTCCCTTGCCCCGTCCTTCCATCCGTCCTCTCTTCCCCTGCCTATGGGGCTGTACGAAATACACGGTGCAGATAGGAAAGAGATACCCCTAAGGGGGTACGATCGAAGACGAAGTGGGCGGGTATCAAGGGTTTGGGATATACGTGTGGGACGCACGTGAGCAGATGAGAGCGAACAGTCTTACGTAGCACCCCGCAGGTGCGGATAAGAGTGATGGGGGCGGTGGGACGTCGCAGTCTGCGAGACTCTGGAGAATGCCGCCGAAGGCGCCAAAGTTTCACACATTATACAAGGAGCCCGCCGCAGGCGCCGATTTTTCTTCAAACCAATGTGTTTCGGTCGCGGGTGGGTCGCGGGTGGGTCGCGGGTGGGTCGCGGGGTGGGCCGCGGGTGGGTCGCAAGTGGGTCGCGGGTGGGTCGCGGTGGGGTCGCGGGTGGTCGTGGATGGGTCGCACGGTCGGTCGCGGTGGGTCGCGGGGTGGTCGCGGGCGGGTCGTGGGGTGGGTCGCGGGTGGGTCGCGGGTGGGCCGTGGATGGGTAGCAGGGTTGTTGGTCGCGGGTGGGTCGCGGCGTGGGTCGCAGGTGGGTCGCGGGGTGGGTCGCGGGTGGGTCGCGGGGTGGGTCGCGGGGTGGGCCGCGGGTGGGTCGCGGGGTGGGTCGCGGGTGGGTCGCGCGTGGGTCGCGGGGTGGGTCGTGGGGTGGGTCGCGATGTGGGTCGTGGGGTGGGTCCGGGTGGGTTGCGGGGGCGACAACGCCAATAAACAACAACAACAACAACAACAACAACAACAACAACAACAACAACAACAACAGCAACAACAACAACAACAACATCAACAACAACAACAGCAGCAGCAACAACAACAACACCAATGATAATAACAACAACGCAACACGCATAATCCTTACCACGGATTCTCAATTCAGCCACGCACCCAGGGACAATGCATGACCGCTATGCCCCCTCACTCTGAAAATGTATGTTGTTGTTGTCGGTGTTTTTGTTGTTGCTGTTGTTCGTAAGGACGTTACCTGGAGGCCCCGGGGGGGGGAGGGAAACGGGAAACGGGAAACGTGGGGCTCCCTGTGGGGCCAGAGCCACGGTCCTCGAGAGATGTGTGCCGACATGAAGCCTCGGTGGGGCTCCCTGTGGGGCCAGGGCCACGATCCTCGAGAGGGGTGTGCCGACATGAGGGCTCGGTGGGGCTCCCTGTCGGGCCAGGGCCACGATCCTCGAGAGGGGTGGGCCGAACTGAAGCCTCGGTGGGGCTCCCTGTGGGGCCAGGGCCACGATCCTTGAGAGGGGTGTGCCGAAATGAAGCCTCGGTGGGGCTCTCTGTGGGGCCAGGGCCACGATCCTTGAGAGGGGTGTGCCGAAATGAGGGCTCGGTGGGGCTCCCTGTGGGGCCAGGGCCACGATCCTCGAGAGGGGTGTGCCGAAATGAAGCCTCGGTGGGGCTCCCTGTGGGGCCAGGGCCACGATCCTCGAGAGGGGTGGGCCGGAATGAAGCCTCGGTGGCGACGCCACCACCGACGACGACTACTACTATTACAAGTACTACTATAACGATTACTATCACCAATGCTACGACAACTTCTATTATATTACTGGTGATACGAATCCTCATGTTATTATTACTACTACCACTACCAATACGACAAACAATACTACTGCTACTACTGCAACTATTACTACGACTACTACTACTACTACTACCACTACTACTATTACTACTACTACTACTACTACTACTATTACTACTACTATTACTACTACTACTACTACTACCACCACCACTACTACTATTACTTCAACCACTACTACTACTACTACTACTACTACTACTACGACTACTACTACTACTACTACTACTACGACTCATACTACTACTGCTACTACTGCTACTACTGCTACTACTACTAATACTACTACTACTACTCCTACTACTACTCCTACTACTCCTACTCCTGCTACTACTACTACTACTACTACTACTACTACTACTACTACTACTATTGCTACTACTACTAC